GTCCGTGAACCATGAATTCCTCTACGACATTGTAGTATTCCACGTCCACGTCTTGTCTGGTACCTCGGCCTTTATGACTCTATCCATAAATGTGGTACTCATCATGTCTCCTTTGTTCTTGAGGAATATCAAAATATGTGCATGTGGCAATCCACGTTTTTGGAACTCAATGGTGTAAATAACTACAAATACAAAATATTATTAAATTAGGTTAAGATGTTTTTTGCATAGAATAAATAAATTGGATTATCTAATGTAATTCAATATATACCTGCTTTCACATGACCAAATAGCTCACCGGCCTTTACTTCTTTTATTAAGCAATTCAATTTCATCTTGAATATACGGCATAAAATATCTGGACGGTCTTCCGCATTGAGATTTCTGTTGCTAATATACCGCTGTATTTCTGGCCATTTTGGATTACACATGAACGTTATAAATAGATTTGGATACCACACGTGTCTAAAAATGTCCATTGCATCCTGGTAATTTTAGATCATGTACCTTGCCCCGGCCGTAAAACTTGACAGTAATAATATCTGCTTACCTTGGGTGCTAGCATGTACTTCACCTCTTGTTAATGCATCTTTCAATCCTTTCAAAGCTTCGCATCTCAACGACTTCTGGTGTGTCCTTATGTATATAAGTCGAGCAGATTCAACCATAGTGTATGCATTAACAATAAATTGTTGTAACAGTCTCCTGGCATACAATATGCTAGAAGTCTCTGTTAACCTTTCATGTAGCGTATAAGCAAAATACTCCCGTGGAGATATACGATGCCTTGCATTGTTGTTGTTAGATCCTTGATTAGCAAACTGTATGTCCTCTCTATACTCATCTTCCCCATAGGGGAATAGTACTGGATATTGCAATGGTAGGTATGATGGGTTCAATTCAAAAATTCGCTTTAGCAAACCTGATTTACTTTCAACTAAAATATCTCTCTGGCCCATATTTGGATCTAAATCCCCAACAATAAGTGCAGTAACCTCTGAAGTCGTTGGTAAGTTATAAGTCCTTGCATATTTTGTTCTCTTACCAATTAATCTCATCTTGATTTCTACGCCTAGATTACTATCAATTTCTGCTTTGGCCATACGGAATGATTGAACCAAAACATTATTTCCATCTAGAACCTCGTTAATATCCTCCACCACCGCAATGTGCAACTTGTGTGTAGCTATGTTATCCCTTTATACATGAACGAAGAAATTTATTGGTTGTATATTGTACGTCATAAAATTAGAGTTTATATTATTTGAATAAACCAAAAAATAATGGTTTGATCAAGTGTACCTGACTGACGCGATACGGTTTTTAACCTCATTATCAGTGTCATGAATATACAATTGTGAAAACTTCAGTTGGCCCCATCAGGTGGCATCAAGCTACCTATTCGATGAAAGTTTTGATCATGTATCCTAAAAATGGGGGGGGGGGGGGGGGATGATCCGTTGTTGATTGTTCTATCTATCTTGGCACCCATTGAGGTGAAACAGAACATGTTATTGTACGTTCTAATATTTTGCAAAAAATGTTTTTGTTTATCGCTGGGTGTGAAAAAAAGATTCTACAACTTCTTCGGTGGTAATGAGATTCTAGGCAGTTTGATCTTTCCATTTGCACAACATCCCGAGTATTTAGTTGCGTTTTGAGTTCTAGCCTTGCCTAGGAATTGGGAGGTAAGTAAAAATTTCAGAATTTTGTTTTTATATATAGTATAGATTAAAATAGGAATTGTATTACACTATTTTATAATATTAGAATAGAATTTTAACCCAATATTATTGTACGAAGGGGAAAATAGAAATCAATATATTTTATTAGGAAGAGAGATTTTTAGGAATTGGACCGGAAGTTAAAATTTCATGATTTTGTTTTTATATATAGTATAGATTGACAATTATTGGGTGGACTACGATCCACATAGTTGTATGGACCATGAATGTAATATACATTTTTAATATATTAAAAGTACATTATTTTTTTTGTGTATTGAAGGTACATTATTTGATAATATATAAAAATTATGTACTTTTAAATAATGTACTTTATTTATACAAATAATATACTTTTTGTATATTAAAAATGTACTTTTTATTTATGATTCACATAAATCTATAGACCATGATCATGATGCTAATTTGCACTCTTTTCAGTTTAGGAAGCGATATTTTATTTTATTATATTGTTAATATAGTTTAGGCACCCGACATGGAAAGTTCCTAACGTTGATCAGAAATTGGGTCCAAATTAGGATAGCCTTACTTGCGTTATAATCCAAAGCTATCGGGCTCAATTAATCCAATCCACTATCTTCTGAAACTAGACGGATCCAAAAGAAGAAAAAAAAAATGCTATTTCATTTTAATTATATGAAAACATTTATTTTATTCTTCACTTTGGCTGGGTACGAAACTACGAATTAGGAGTGATACTAGTATAGGTAATTTTAACTCTTTAAGGCTTTGTTTGAGTGACAAAAATTTAAAGTTGAAATCTTTTATCAGGGATTTAAATGTTGTGTAGTTATAATGTTATAATTTATTGTAATAGATATATTTATTGTGTAGTATAATACTTTATATACTAAATTACTAAACATCTATAGTATATATAAAAACAAAATCCTGAACTTTAACTTCCCGTCCAATTCCTAAAAAAATCTCTTTTTCTAATAAAATATATTGTTTTCTATTTTCCTATTCGTACTATAATTCCAGGTTAAAATTTTTATTCTAATATTATAAAATAGTATAATACAATTCCTATTCTGATCTATTTTACATATAAAAACAAAATCCTGAACTTTAACTTCCCGGCCAATTTTCAAAAAAATCTATCTTTCTAATAGAAATATATTGTTTTCTATTTTACTATTCGTACTATAATTCTATGTTAAAATTTCTATTCTAATATTATAAAATAGTGTAATACAATTTCTATTCTAATCTATACTATATATAAAAATAAAATCTTGAACTTTAACTTCCCGCCCAATTCCTAAAAAATCTCTCTTTCTAATAAAATATATTGTTTTCTACTTTCATATTCGTACTATAAATCTAGGTTTAAATTCATATTCTAATATTATAAAATAGTGTAATACAATTCGTATTCTAATCAATAATTCTATACTATATATAAAAACAAAATCCTGAACTTTAACTTCCCGCCCAATTCCTAAAAAAAATCTTTATAAAATAGTGTAATACAATTCGTATTCTAATCAATAATTCTATACTATATATAAAAACAAAATCCTGAACTTTAACTTCCCGCCCAATTCCTAAAAAAAATCTTTATATTTCTAATAAAACCCACACAGGATGTAAATCAACTGAACATGAACCACAGAGGCTAAACCGGTGCTCATTGCGCACAAGGAACCCCCCTCGCTGAACATGAACCACATAGGCCACTTTGAGAGGTAGCTCCCACACTGCCGCTAGTGAGAGTCGATCCCTGGTCATTTTTCCAAAATTTCACCTCTGTGACCAGTTGAGCTACCCATGCGGGTTCAACCGTTCAAATTTCTATTCTAATATTATAAAATAGTGTAATACAATTCATATTCTAATCTATTATCTATTATCTGTTATCTATTATCTATTATATATATAAAAACAAAATCCTGAAATTTAACTTCCCGCCCATTTCCTAGAAAATCTATCTTTTTAATAATAATAATAATAATAATAATAATAATAATAATAATAATAATAATAATAATAATAATAATAATAATAATAATCCAAACAACACTACATACAAAATAAAGTTAACATTAAAAAAAAAAAAAATAAGGAGAAGAAGAAGAAGACAAAGGGCTTCCCTTAGTAAATGATGTGGGATCACATTTAAGTTTTATCCCACATCGAAAATGTTAGGAAAGATGAGCTCTTGAGTTCCTCTATATAAGGGGAGCAATGTTTCTTTTACAAACATAATTGCTTGCGCATTAATGTGGGCAAGTATTAAGAAACCAAAAAACTCTGATTTAATAAGTCTTAGCTTAATGACTTTTTATTTTAATTTTTTTTAAAAAAATTATTATTTATTATTTGGGCGGTTTGGGAAAGATTAACCCAAAATATCTATGTGTTGTTTTTGTTTTTAGCAGTTTGGAGTAAAATTACTGAGTTATTAAATAATATTTTTGATGTTTTGATAATATTTATGGTGTTTTGATTAAAGACAAAATTTTAAAATGGTGAATTTGTTAAAATATTGACAAATTTGTCAATAATCAAACAAGGCCATTATCTAATAATTATTATTCAATTTAACAAATTAATTGCATAGATATAAAAGTTCGTTTGGAAAGTAAGAAAATAATTTCTGGAAAATGAGTTATTTTTCAGAAAACAATTTTTTTTTTTAAAAAAAAAATTTTGGATGCACAGCAGAAAATTGTGTAAAAGAAATTTTTTATTATTATTGTTAGTATTATGTAATAATGTAATAATAAAATAAAATTACAATAATATTAATATTAATAATATAATAATAATCAAAACAAAACACCATTGCACAAATATATTTAATACAGAGTATTTAAATTGTAATTAAACCAGATACAAATCGCTCCGCAATATTCGCCATCTCCGATCGTGATCGTGATCGGCGATCACCTTCTTCGAAAGTGGCCCTCTCTCTCGATCGTGTTCTGAGAGAGTGTTCTCCCTAGGACTCTAGGGTTGTTATTTAATCTTCTCCGATGGCTATTCCGTTCATACTGTGTGTTGCTTTCCCGTATTTTCTGATCCATTATCGCTGGTATTATATCGCCATGGATGTCACCCAAATTGAGAAACAGTGTGCCGATTTATCTCTGGTCGTGGAAGAATCTGGAGGATTGGAGGCACCGGAGACACCGCTAATTCCAAATGCCACAATTCAACACAATCTGGTGGGCCGACTCCGGCCTCACGGATCGCCAGATCAGATTCGAACATTTACAACAGGTGCTCGCTTCCGTGTGGCGTCCAGTCATGGACATGTTCGCGGTGGCGTTGACGGATGAGCTCTTCTTGTTTCAATTCCCCCACCTGAGGGACCTCCAGCGTGTCGTTGACGATGGACCGTGGTCCTTCGAAAACAATCTTCTGATCTGTGAACAGGTACCGGTGGGCATGCGACCGGAAGATGTGCAATTAGACTCTGTCCCCTTTTGGATTCAGGTTCATGGATTGCCGGCCATGTACGCTTCTACGGAATTCGTAACCAAGATCGGGAATTACATCGGGACCTTCATTGCAGCGGATCCTTTCAACTTTGGAGGGTCCTGGAAGAGCTATTATCGGATCAGAGTGCGGATGAACGTGGCGGCACCCCTCCAGCGGCGCATGAAACTGAAATGTCGTGATGGTTCACTCCAATGGATAACCTTCAAATATGAACGTTTGAGCACCTTCTGCTATTGTTGTGGGATGATCGGCCATTCAGACAAATTTTGCCGGACAGTGTACGATGAAGGTATTCTTCCCGACGCATTCCCTTATGGGCCATGGATGCGAGCTCGACCCAAGCGTCAGGTAAAGCCAGTGGGGGCGCGATGGTTGCTATCCAATTCCGGTACATGGGTGAGGAGTTCGGCCCTGCCACCGCCGGGTCCTCCGCCGTCCGTTTTGGAGGAAATGGAAGCACTGGGTGAGATACAGGGTGATCTAAAAAGGCGCAGGGAAGATGTGGATGCGGATCCTGTAGGAACAGATATCACGATGGTGGAAACTTCAAAAAACGTTGGGGCGGCGGGTCTGGCAGACCAGGCTCGCCTAGACAGATGAGTTGCCCCAGTTGGAACTGTCGGGGTCTGGGCGGTACCCGATCAGTCCGAGAACTTCTGGACTTTATGTCCAAACACCGCCCCATGTTTGTCTTCTTGATGGAGACAAAGGCAACAATTAGTAAGTTAGAGGAACTGCGTATGCGATTGGGTTTTGAAGGCAAAGTTTGTGTGGAACGTACAGGTCTCGGCGGGGGCCTCGCGTTTCTTTGGCGGGATACGGATGTGGCATCTTTGATTAATTACTCTCCCAATCATATTGACATGAAAATCACTCTGCCTGGCCGACCAGCATGGAGACTCACTGGTTTCTATGGTGAATCGGATAGGGCTCGACGACACATCACGTGGGATCTACTTCGGCAACTCAGGGACAACTCATCTCTCCCCTGGGTGGTCATTGGCGATTTCAACGACATAGCATGTCACTCGGAAAAGCAGGGCACACACCCCCATCCGGCGGCACTGATCGAGGGGTTCAATGATGTACTGGGGGACTGCCAATTAATGGATCTGGGTATGAGGGGAGGCAGATTCACCTGGGAGAAGGGACGTGGTACTGAGGAGTGGGTTGAAGAGCGTCTAGATAGAGCGGTGGCCACAACGGAATGGATAGATATGCATGATGACGTGGTTGTTCATAACCTTTTCACAAGGTCATCAGATCACCGAGCCATCTTGGTTAATCTAGATATAGAACCTGTGCGGGCAGCTCATCGATCTTTTAAATTTGAGTCGGCCTAGCTTTTGGAGGAGGGGTGTGCAAAGGTCGTTGGTGAGGCATGGCGTTTATCTCTGGAGCTAGATTTCCAGTCCCGTATTGTTGTGTGCGGCGATCGATTAAGGAGGTGGGGCGGCGAACACCACCGCAGGTTTGGCTTTCGTATTCAACAATTGCGTCGTATACTGGACAATTTGAAGGAGGACCGCACTCCCCAGGGATCGAAAGTTTTCGGGATGCGGAAATTGAGCTGGAAGGCCTGCTAATCTCTGAAGAAATATTCTGGAAACAAAGATCCAAGCAGCTTTGGCTCAAACATAGCGATGCAAATACAAAATACTTCCATAAGGCTGCTACGGCAAGACGCAAGCAAAATTTTTTAACGCGGCTAAGGGATTAAAATGACGTATGGCAGGAGGTCGAAGCTCTGCACGCAGAAGTCCTGAGGTACTACAATTCTATTTTTAGCTCCAGTGCATGTAATGTTGACCTCTTTCATCGGGTTCGGGAACGGGTGACAAACGAGATGCACACATCTCTGAGGCAACCATTCACGATCGCAGAGGTGAAAGAAGCTCTGTTTGACATGGCACCTGAAAAAGCCCCCGGCCCTGACGGTATGTCACCGGCGTTTTTTCAGCATTTCTGGCCAGTGCTCGGACATGATCTGGCTGTCTTTCTGATTAAGTGTGTGGAAACTAATAACTTCCCCTTGGGTTTCCACGATTCCAACATCGTGTTGATCCCTAAGAAAGCTAGCACGATTAAGGTGTCAAATTTGAGGCCGATAGCCCTTTGTAATGTCATTTAGAAAGTCCTCGCTAAAATGTTGGCAAACAGGTTAAAGGGTTATCTGGAATTTATAGTATCTCAATCCCAGAGTGCTTTTGTTCCTGACCGTCTTTTAACGGATAATATTTTAGTGGCCGGTGAAATTGGACACTACTTACGTAGAAAGACGGGGGGTGAGACAGGGTGGGCTGCGCTAAAGCTCGATATGGCTAAGGCGTACGATAGGATGGAATGGTCCTTTTTGGAGGGGATGATGAGGGCGCTGGGTTTTGAAAGGGATTGGATAGATTTATTGATGCTGTGTGTCACATCAGTAAACTATTCTATTCTTGTGAACGGTACGATCGTAGGTCAAGTGTGTCCAACTCGGGGTATTAAACAAGGTGACCCCTTGTCGCCCTATTTGTTCATACTCTGCGCCGAGGGTCTTTCTATTCTTCTGCAACAAGCAGAGGACCGGGGAGACATTCATGGGGTAAGGGTGGCTAGGGGTGCTCTGGCCATCACTCATCTGTTTTTTGCTGATGACAGCTTGCTCTTTTTCAAGGCCAATCAACAGGATGCTTCACAAGTTAAAAATTGCCTCGATCTTTATTGCATGGCTTCGGGTCAACTTATAAACTTTGATAAGTCCAGCGCAGTTTTTAGTCGCAACACACCAATACAAGCGCGGGGGTTGGTTTCTGATCATTTCGGTGTCCATGAGTCCGCGGACCTCGGGCGCTATTTGGGCCTACCATCTGTCCTTAGACGTAATAAGGTGGACGTGTTCAAATATATAGAGAATAATATTCGAGCAAGGATTGGGGCATGGCAGCACAGATTTTTGTCCCGTGCAGGTAAAGAGGTCCTTCTAAAGAGCATCGCACAAGCACTTCCAATATTTACCATGTCAGTTTACTTACTTCCCCTCCGTGTTTGCGATACTCTAGAAAAATTGTTCAATCGTTTCTGGTGGGGAGGCGGAGGAAATGGACATCGGGGGATTCATTGGCTAAGTTGGGAGAGGATGTGTACACCGAAATCAAAGGGGGGCTGGGTTTCAAGAAATTACATGAGTTCAACATGGCTTTACTGGCGAAACAAGGATGGCGATTGCTAACTCAACCTGAATCCTTGGTAAGTCGGTTGTTGAAGGCAAAGTATTACCCCACCACAGACTTTTTGGGGGCATCTATAGGGGGGAATCCAAGCTATTTGTGGCGCAGTATTTTGGCCGGGAGAAAGGTCTTACAAATGGGCATAGCGAGGCGTATCGGTAATGGAGTAGACACGAAGATATGGGACTGGCCTTGGGTGTCGGTCTCTCCAAACACACCTCTGCTTACACCTTGTATTGAGGAGCTTCGTCACGCAACAGTTCGTGGGTTGCTAGACGATCAAAGCCGATGGGATGTGGATGTGGTTCGCGATCTTTTCCATGCAGACGATGTCATCAGAATTTTGGCAACCCCGACAAATGGCAACTTTCCTGACTGTTGGCGATGGATAGGCGCTATACGCGGCCGGTACACGGTACAACATGGCTATCGACTACTTATGAACGCGACGTCACAAAACGACACCGGAAACACTTTTCAGGCTTGGACAGCTCTTTGGGCTTTACCAATACCGCCCAAGATTAAGAACTTTCTTTGGCGATGTGCTCGTGGAATATTGCCTGTTAGGGACAATCTGCGGCAAAAGAGGGTTTGGATTGGAGGAGGGTGCCCAATATGTGGTTTTCCGGTAGAGTCGATGAGCCACCTTTTCTGCGAGTGTTCTTTTGCGAAGGCAATCTGGGAGCAGGTTGATGTTTTAAAGGGGTTGGACATCCTAACTTTCATGCAGCATGTTCTTAGCAGCCCGTCGAAAGAGGATGCGACAAGACTGGCAGCGATTTTTTGGACAATTTGGCAAGCTCATAATGACATGATCTGGCACGACAAAACACCGTCCATACTGACGACCCAGAACCGTGTAGCTGCTCTTCAAGTTTCTTGGAACGTGGTCTATACAAAGCATGGAACTGTCGTGGATAGGCCATCTGCACAAAATCGATGGGTACCACCGCCTTCTAGTTTACTCAAGTGCAACGTTGATGCAGCCATTTTTGATCATGGGACAGGCTTTGGTGCGGTTGTCCGGGATCATGACGGAAGGTTCGTAGCTGCGAAGAGCGGTCGTCTGGGTAATGATCGTGACCCGTTCGTGGCCGAGTCCCTTGCAACCATGGCTACTTTGAATTGGTTAAGGGAGCAACAGTTTAATAATATTATTCTCGAGTCGGATTGTTTGAATTTATGTACCGCTTTCAATTCTAGTTTTACTGATTTTTCGTACGTAGGTCTAATTGTAAAGCAATGTCATTCGATTGCTAAGGACGTTGGGATAACTTCTATTTCCCATGTTAGGAGAACAGCGAATTGTGTAGCTCATGCGTTAGCACGGGCGACCGATTCTATGCCTGATTCCAGGATGTGGCTTCATGTGCCACCTGCTTGTATTTCCGGTCTTTTATGCATTTAATAGTAATGTTTCGTTTTGTTTCAAAAAAAAAAAAAAAAAAAAAAACTATATACAAAATAAAATTAAAATTGAAAAAAAAAAAAAAAAAACGGAACCACGAGCTCCCCTTTGTAAATGATATGGGGTCATTTTGATCCTACATCGAAAATGTTTGGGAAGAGGAGCTTTGAACAATGCTCATCTTCCAATGCTCCTCTTCCAAACATAATTGCTTGCCTATCAACGTCGACAAGTATTGAGAAGCCAAAGGACTCTTATTTAAGAAACCATATTTTAATGGCTTCTTATTTTAAGTTTTTTTTTTTTTAAGAAAAACATTTTACAGACAATGATAAATACTAAACAATGATAAATAAAATCTTCAAAGTTATAACACTACATGTGTACATCTAGACATTAGCTATTAATTTGAGCAATTATTTGCACCAATTCAAACAAGGATAATATAAAAATACATAAACGATCCAAACCATATCTTTAATTGCACTATATAATATTTGATGTTCTAATTTAAATAATTATATATCTATTCAAATATTCTTAATATATTACAACAAATTCATTCCATGCATCGCACGAGTGAAAATACTAGTTTCTAGTATAAAAAAAAAAAAAACGTGCAACATATACAAGGTTAATATAATCCAACAAGATACTTAGATACACATACCAAATAAAATATCTCAAAGTAGACCGTTTCATATCTTGATGTGGTAATATATGATATATATAATTCTGTATAGAAAAATACATTCGCCTATAAAGACTCTCCCTATTAGTCACTCCCATATATTTTTTTTAAAAAAATAAATATAAAAAAACTATTTATTTCTATAGATTATTAGTGAATTGATTGGCATTACCATAAGTCAATAAAAAAATTTACGTATTCAATAAAAATAAGACACGTCAAGGAATGGTAATTGTAGAAGTCACTAATATGATCTTTTTTATATTTATTAGTTATTCATAAATAGGTCATTTTATCACGAGTGAAGAAAAAACTCCCTTGTTTTTTTGTTAGACCACGAGGTATATATCCTGAGCAGGCCCTAACTGTAGGAAGCACCTTTAAACTCATACCATACTCAGACTAATAATTGAACCAACCCAATTGTACCACAAAAATAAATAAATAAATAAATAAATAATAATAAGGAATGCAATGTCACTTTTTTTTTAAAAAAAAATGTCAAATTGGCCCCCTAGGTCAATCTGATAGTACAATTGGGTCCCCTAAATAAAAAAAGTTTCGATTCAAACCTCCTAAACCTGTAAAATAATTCAATTGAATTCAAATCGACTAATTTAGTAGGTTAATTTTTCATAGGTTTGACACGTATCCATTTTTTTATTTTTGTTTTTTAAAAATCTTTTTATTTATTTATTATAATAAAAAAATAAAAGAATATATCCACCAGTTAGCATGGAGGCGGACCTGCGTCAAATGTTCCATTTGTTAAGCCTATATGTGGCTAGTATTACATTCAGTTATTATTTGTTCTATTTATGTTCTTGTAAAGTAGTTATGTTTGAATAGTTCTTACAGCTCCCTCCTATTTACGCTCCCCCATGTATTATATATAGCTGGTAGTTTACATCGATAAAGGTACAGTTCATTCCTTCACATGGTATCAAGAGCCATATTCCCCTAAGGAGTTTTTTTTTTTCTCTTTCACCATTTTTATATCCATGGCTACAACCACCAATGACATTGTCCAAC